TGTAGCAGTACCAGTGACCAGGGTCAAGTTTCAAGTCCCACTTGAATGTCACCATTTACCTTTGGATGACACGTATGTGTGCTACTTCCAGCTTTTTAGGTTTATACTCAGTTGATAAAGTATGACTTTATTTCATAACACTGTTAAGACTGTTGAATTATATGAGGATTAGTTACCTGGATTTAATGTTAATGAATGTTATGATTATTTCCAGCTTATTAAAAGTGTCCGTGCTGACTATACATAAAAAACACTGCTCAGTCATCTCTTTTCAAAATGAGGATGAGGTGCCAATGCTGACTGGTTTCAATTACATTTTTTTTGTCTTAAATCACTTGCTTAAATATTTTTGCTTGAAAAATATCTTGACTAATCCTTCATCAGTCAAGGACAGACATCACAAAAATGGTAATCTTTCAGGTGTCCACAGACAAATGTATGGTGTTTACAAATTGTTTCATTAGTATAATTATATAGTTTAGTATTTTGTTCCTGGAAAGTATTGTTAACTTGATGTTCATTGTATCATCATCGTCTCTATTAAATTTTACGGCTGTTGTTTCTAACATAATAAAATGATCTCTAATTTCTGGACAGGAACTCATTTGCAAAAGCAATAGGTGTATCTCACTTTTATTTGGATGCTAAGAGCAGATGGGGAAAGGCCTGAAGGCTGTTACTGAGCTCAAAGGTCATCTAAAGTACATTTCTACATCCTGCAGTGTTTTCTAATGGTAGCAAATGTACATGTATTGTAAAGATTTCTTGTTTTTGTCCCCACCCTGTGGCAGCATCTGGTGCTTACAAATTATTTTTATCCAGTCGTCTTTTTGCTTGAGCGAGGTATTTTTACTGTCTTTTCTTTTTTATTGGTGTGGGCTCCCCATGGACGGTCTATAAAAGGGGTTCCCCTTGTATATTTAAAAGATGATTTTATAAATATCCAGGTACGCAAAACTTTGCTTGTCTATGAAGATTCTCAGTCATCCAGGTCATAGTTATCCAACGAGGGTTAAAATGAAGGGCAACTGGACTTGGTTGAAGATTCTTCAGTTCTGGGGGGGATAAGTGGTGGCGTAGACCCCCTCCCCTGTTACAGGGGAGGGGGTCTACGCCACCACTTATCCCCCACTTACAATGCTGTCCTTTCATCACTTCCCAGGAAACTCAACAAACGTAACCTATTGGCCTCAGGTGAAGATACCAACGATGGTCGTTCAGTCTTGGCCACAGGTAGTCTCAACGACTGTAACGACTGTCGTCAAAGCAACAAGGAACACTAACGAACCAGCGGTATCTATGACCCGGGCCAACGACCCCACTGAGGTTAAATAGCTGAGTTTCCCTGCCAGTCAGTCAGAACTGAAGAAGTCCTTTGGATAAGGGACGAAACGTCTTCCAGTATCTTCAACCAAGTCCAGTTGCCCTTCATTTTAACCCTCGTTGGAAAACTTTGCTTCTAGCTACAGTGTTAATACATATGCCCCTCTTCAGGTTTACGCTGTTCTAATGATGAGGGTGTCCATCTCTTTCATTTGTTTCTCCTTCAGATTTGCATTTTAGTTTATTTACATTGAAAACATTTATGCATGTAATCTAATTACATATGACTTAAAAGATTCAAAGGCACAGACAATCTCGTTTTAGTGCAGTGACTAAGATCACATCAGTAATCGGCTGTCAAGAATTTGTTTCAGAGAATTCATTTCCTCTCTACTCGCCTTTGTTTTAACAGAAGGGAATCTACTCAGCCTTACATTGCACAGTACAGTAGAGACAAAGAATTTAAATAGACTTCAACAGTATTTAAACCTGACAGAGACAGAAGTATCAATCACATAATCACAGCAGAAATACTGCCACATTGGATTCACTATTCCAAGCTATGGTCTAAGGGTCCCACATGCCAGCTGACAGTCATTTCCTTTCTTTAATCATCCCTGTCTGCACAGTCTCCATTCTGATTCATCACTGTTTGTCCTGCAGAGCCCCCAGGTATCTGTGTGCTGATCTCAGTGTGTCCTGCAGGTCTTTGTACTGAGCCAGAGTGCAGGCTTCCTCCAGCCGTGCCCAGCGGTAGTCCCTGTGCTCGTCAGACAAAGTAACCGCTGTCCCTGGGTCTCTCAGCTCGGCCAGCCAGTACAGCACCTCTTTGGGCTTTCCTTGCACCTCGTAACGCAGCTCCTGCAAAAATCCGTCAATCACCCGCAGGTGCTCCGCCCCCAGCCCGGCCTCCTCCTTGGTCTCTCTCAGAGCTGTGGTGAGGTCATCCTCGCCTGGGTCCACATGACCTGATGGTGAACAGGTTAGACGGAACTGGCACAAAGAACATCTAAAGCTATACGAGTAGAATTCAGCTCATTAGTATCTCTCATCAATGACCTGATAGATGTGCTGTTTTTGAACTTGTAAACACCTTTGGGCGGGGTCCAGTGGTGTGTCCCATAAGAGGTCTGCAAGAGGAGGTACTCGATGTTGTCTGGTGGAGGGACACGACTAGCTAGACGACGAAACACTATAAAGCCACAAGCACGCAGCACCATCTTCCTGTTCAGAAACTTCACACACAAACACATTCTGCATTACTTTGTGTTCCTTTGTTGTAAAGTGTGACCCTTTGCACTTTAGGGAGGTTAAATGAAACTGTACCTGTAACGTACAATAAAAAACTTTTAAAAGTTTCACGTTATTACTTATTTCTTTTCTTTTATAGGGTGTTTGGTCTTATTAGTTCTGTGAACTAAAATACAAACTGTTATGATGTTAATATACTGTATTTAAGGCTAACATAATTGTGTGAAATCTGTTCACATTCACTAGTACCCCCCATACTACTGGATATTAACAGATCCACATGGTAACGACAAGCACCATACCAGCCAAATATCACCAGCCTTATTCTGTCAGAGTAAACCTCTGGAGTACAGGTTTTCCTCTTTAACATAGTGGCCTAGCTTTGGCTTTCAATAATGAGGTAACCTGTAGGACCTTTTGGTCAGGACAAATTTCAGCAGTGTTGCTTTTGACTGGAATTAGCCTGTTTCTTTTTTTAATATAACAACGTTGGAATTAAAAAACACAATCAGGCCGATCATATCTTTGGCTGTGTATTCAAAAAGCAGAAAATGAATGACAGGCACAGATCTTACAGGTTTAACGTTACAGGCCCATGAACAACACTACTGCGCCAGCACGATGATTTAGCAGAGCTAAATAAATCTGTAGCATGTTAGCTATCTTACTTACCTGCTCGCACAGATGTCAAACAGTGACTGGGCTCTGGATGTTTCTTGTGGATGCTACTTAAGGTCTATTCTCTGCGACAAAATATGGGTTTCTCTGGTTTCTCTCCGGCTGAGAGCACAGCGAAGCTCAGCGGTGCTCTGGGAAATGAGTCCGGCCGGTCGGTGCTCTTTGAATACGGACTCAAACAGTTCCGCTTTGTAAAACTGCTTGGACAGGACTCGAGGCAAGACTACTGCTGCCAGTGGTGAAAGAGGTGTTCAGATTCAACGTTCAAAGTTATATTAAATCAATAAAACTACTCCTTATGCAGATTGGCTATATTCAGGAATATTATTATATTGCATTGTGATATGATTAAGATAGAAGGCTTAAACAATATAATATAATATAGCCTTGTAGTGTGTTAATTGATTATAATTACTTTTTTGTTACGACTTTATACACTGTTACACTAATCTATAATGATGTATTGTTTTATTTATTGATTCTGTGTTTTGTATGTAAAGCCTTACTAGGAACTATGGCTCATTGCCGATACATACAGCAGAGTAAAAACTTGAGTAAATGTACAGTGGACAGTTATTAGGTACATTTACTCAAATACTGTGATTAAGTACACATTAAAGGTACTTCACTTAAGTATTTTCTTTTTATGCCACTTTCTACTCCCCTGCATCTCAGAGGGAGATAATGTATTTTTTTTTATACTGCATTTATCTGACAGCTTTTTTTACAGACAAAACATATGAGGACTCAATAAATTTTCTTTGTTGCAAATTAAACTACACAACATTTTACAACTGACACAGTATTAGACTGACGTTGAAATCAACTGGCAACAACTTTCATTCTTGTAAATATTTTTCATGCTTCCATAACACACAAATCTGAAGATCTTTTCCTTTTAATTATTTAAATTGATTTGTAATAATTTTGCACTTTGTACTGTTGGTTAGACAAAGCAAACATTCTGAAGGTATCACTTTGGGCTCTGGGAAAATGTGAAATAGTAATATAAATGAGTTCCCCCTCAAAAATTACAACAGTAAAATCCTGTTTTTACATTAAAGCATGATTAATAGTCACATGACATTTTTCTTTCTGCATTGAGTACTTTTTCTTTACTTTAGGTACATTTTCCTAATTATACTTACATACTTTTACTTTAGAAACATTTTCAATGCTGAATGTTTACTTGTTAGCCTACTTGTTATTAGTACTTTCACTTCAGTAAAGGATCTACATACTTTGTCCCCCACTGACACACACGAACACGCACACGCACACACACACACACACACACACACACACACACACTGTATATAATTGAGTAACTTTTTATCATTGAAAGGGCAACCTGTTTATAATGAATGCCATTGTTAAATATCTGGGAAAGTTTACCTACTGTGTTTTTAAAATCTGTTTGTCATGTCAGCAACCCCTGACAAACATAACAAATAATTGCTTGAATTACATGAATTGATAAGTCTAAAATGACCTAATAATATAATAACAACAATAATATAAAATAACAACATATATATATCTTAATATTTATCAGTAGATTTAAATAGAGCGATTCATCCTGTTAGAAATCTCTAGAAATGACAGATTAGACATGGTTTTATGATAAACGTACAGTGTTCTTTATAATGAAATTGCTCTTGTGCCTGTGGGAGACAGATAAGACATGTACCCAGTGTAGATAGGGCCAACTGAAGACAGCTTGTGTCTAAAGATAATGGAGATGGGGCCTCCTCCTCATGGAAGCCAAACTGCCAGAAGTGCAGTTGCTCCGCTGGATGGAGGAGTCACTGCTGCTGAGCTTCAAGGTAAAGACAAAAACTTACCCAAAATACATGTTCTGGTACTTTCAAGTAAAAATATATAGGAGACGGACAGACAGACAGAGAGGATGCACAAAAAATTACTTTGAAGGATTTGTACAAATTAGACCTATAGTCTTTTAGGACTCACTTAAAGAAAATGTATTGTTTTCCTGACATGAACAATTATTTTGCTTTTCTGTAGCTCCTTCCTTCATAGCATGTAGCTGCCTGTGGTTTAGCCAGAGGCCTCAGGACATGCGACATTCGCTTCTACTACTACTGTGCTTACTCAGCCTGCACTGAAGCGCTCATTATTCCACTCCGCTATACATGAATCACACATGGGGTCAGGTTCCCCTGCATCCAGATATTTTTGGTATATACTGGCTGTCATAGAGATTACTCATGGATGTTGGACTGTGGTTTAGATGACCAATGCTTTTGTAGAGGGATGACAGACAAATTTATGTTTTATGTCATTGCATTTGGCCCACTTGTGTCACTTTGTGTAGGTCATGCAAGCTGTATCATGAGGCAGTTCATTGGTCTGGTATTTTGTATTTAAGGAACACACAACAAGAAAAAAAAAATCCTTATGACGATGACACAGATATTAGGCATTAAAATGTCAGGTCTGAGTACGTGTAGAGCAGATTCGTACCAAGAGATGTCCTTGTCTGGATTCTTCAAGCTGAATGTTCTGGAAGTGTTGTGGATTTATTTTAAGCTGACAACTGTGATGTAGTGTGCCAACACAATAATCCCAGTTACAAATCCAGAAGTCACAATTTTCATGCGTGTAGTTAAGATTAAAGTTCTCACCTGGAAACGGGGCATAGTTAATGCACAGAGGGCATTGCTTGCAGGGTAGTTACGACCACTCTTGTGATTTGGTAAAGAAAAATAACATGGTTCTTTGTGATGAATACTGAATTGTGAAGTTTCCTGCTTGCAGTCTGAACAGCATTTGACAGAGCCATGGAGGCGAAGGAGCAGACCACAGGAGGGCCTTATTTTGTGGGGAAAACCAATGAATTGATTGAAGCAAAGCGCTCTTTCAGAACATTAGAAGGTCGGGATGTACTGATCATCCACCATCTGGGAGTCTTCTATGCTATAGACTCTTACTGTTATCGTGAGTACCTGTGCTGAACTCAAAACAGCTGTTATGAGAGAGGGGAAAGTGTGACCATTAGGCTTTGGTTTCCCTTCAAATCTGGTAATACATGAAAAGTGTTATTGGCCGTAAGACTTTATCCAACAGTACAGAAAATATTGGCATATTTTCAAAAATGTTATCAATGTGCTTACTTTCACTGAACCAACTCAAAAATAGGTTGCTGCTAATAGAAATCCTGTCATGGGACATTTAACGCTGGCCTGCCTTACTTTGTTATCCATAGGACATTTTAGCACATATTGCCTCTAAAGTGTGTCCAGTCAGCAAAAGGTTAGTCTGCTGTAAACTGTTAGCTTATTCTGCAATACACTGATCCTCTACCCTCTCAACAGATGCTGGGGGAATGCTGCAGAATGGAGACATTGAGGTGAGGTTTACATTTTACAAGAGCTTGTGGGTTGTTGTTTTTTTTGTCTGACCCAGAGAAAAGAAGCCAAAATGTCATTTAAGTTAAAGTGCTGGACTGTGCTTTTGTGTTTTTGCACTAAAATCCTTAAAAGCAACCGCTGTAATTAAGATATCAAACCCGTATTAATTTAATGTTATGCTAATCTTGGAAGTGACCTACACTTAGCACCACATGAGGTTGTTTACCTGCTTTCTTTCAACACATTCACAGGACATTGACGGCAAGCTGTGCATAATTTGTCCAAAGCACAAGTACAGGATCTCTCTTGCCGAAGGGGAGGGCTTATACAAGGGCACCAACCCCCAGGAAAAGCCACCTGTGCCCAGATGGTACTCCAAGGGTGTGAAGCAGCGGATCCACGAGGTCACTGAGAGCAACGGGGAAGTCTATGTCAAGCTCTCTCAGGACAGGCACTGGGTCGATTCAGACTTCTACCAGGGAGAGGCCGGCAAGGTGGAAAGGGCCAAAGCAGAAGCAGCCGAGGAGAAGAATGATAATAGTAACACATGGATGAGAATGGCATCTCTATAGTATTTTTTTGTCTCCTATGATCTCCTCTAAATGTTTGGGTGATAACTGTGTAGAGAGATGTTTAATAACACGTAGTCCATGCTCTACCTCAAGTAATCAATAGGGCTTGCATGGGCTTAAAAACTGGTCTTGTTTTAATGAGTTTGGGAGCATTTAGAATTTTAAATTACTTGATGTGTGGCTTGCTAGCTTTTTAAATGGTCTAAAAATGTTTTACTAAAAAATGTGGTCACACATTGCCCTGTTACATAGTTCACTGAATAAACATTTTTATGAATGAATTTAGATTTCTGGTTCTTTGTTTTCAAATTAGGTAGTGGCAGGAGGTGGCTAAAAGTGTGCCCACACTGGTGTATCCCTCTGCATTTCAATATTCCTCATGTATTATGCATTCAGTGAATGAATCAATAAGATAAAAAGGTTTTTGCTGATCGATAAAGTCCTAAAGTGGGAAATCGTTAATGTAAAATAAAAAGATCATACCACAATACTGGTCACTTTTTGTATCCGTTCATTCCCTCAGATAACATCAGAAAGCATGAACATCAGGACACATGTTGCAAATACTAGGATTTGCGTTGTGACATGTTTCTTGAGGACACAGACCAAATCCCTGGTCGGTGTGCTGACAGCAGCTTCATGCAGGTACAGTGGCTGGCTGGAAGGTACTGTCCCCATATTCCGTATAGATATTCAGGGTTTTGTTTTGAACAGTCAGCCTTCAATCTTCTCATCTAACTCTTGCCAAGAAAGCAAATAAGAGCATTTCTCAAAATGTCTCCACTGTGCTCTCAAAACTATTCCTTTAATATTCATGATGTCACCAATATCTCTAAACCTAACTTTGTTACATTTGCTATGTGGCACTGTCGTACTTAAAGGATTACTCTAGCAACTTATCACTGCGCTTCCATAAAACTGAGGCACTTGCAAGAAACAGATTGAAAAAAGAATGGTAAAACTTGTCAAAGCAGCGGCCAAGACTTTTAGTTTTTGTCAGAACGGGTCAAGCTCCAAAAATGCTGGCTCCAATTCCCATAATTCATCTTGATAGCGACCCTCCCTGCCTGGAAAACACCCATGTCTTTCAAACTCCACACCTCTGGTTAGTAACACAAGCTTTCAGTTACAAGTCATACATTTTACATAATTATAGTAATAAATACAAAGTTGAATCATAATGGCTTTCATAGCCATTCTGTACATAACATGCAAAGTGAAATAATTTGGTTATAGCCTATAATTTGCTGTAAAGACAGCTTGTCACATTCAGATGATTTCTCTGTTTCTGTGCCTGTGGTGTAGGGTAGCAGTGATATGGCCCTAGAACAACACAAAGGCTGTGGGTATGATGTTTCCTTGTGCATGAATGATGATGGTCTCTGTAGCTGGCCTGCAGCAAACTCACAACACAGTCTAAAGCCTCTGCCAGTGTGACACTTCAAATACAATCAAGAAGTGCACATGGCCATGGGCTACATGGAAGGAGGGGGCTGTAACTTGTGCAAGGTTACTACACATTAAATAGTAAAATATGATTAGGAAGTGAAATTTAGAATCTTGATACAAGGCGGGGGCCATTATGTGCAGGTGGACATTTGCAATAGGTCAAGTGGAGGGCTGTTTGTCAAGACAAGAGCAGACTGTCTGCTTAGCTGCTTAGCAGGGCGAGTGCATCTTTTTTCAGAGGAAGGCTATTGCACAGTGTGTAAGGAGCATGGATTTACAGTGTTGCAGGGCATTCAAACCCAAGGCCTAAATACTCTATGATGCTTTTATGTCTGCACTATTCATCATGGTTCGGAGTGAGACACAACGCTCTGATCAACCCTTTAAGGCTTGAGCTATGCTTCCTCTCAGAAAGCTCTGGCCCTTTGGAGTTTGTCCAAGAGGGACTACCAGATCTCCTTATCACCTTTTATAGCTTACTAACACTGACCCCCCCACCCCCAAAATAAAAGCAAACCAACGTATTTTATATTTTCTTGCAGTATAAGCAAATTGTCTCCTAACCCTTGCTTAATAGGGTTGTCACTATCAACCTCTTGGCCATTCCTTTCGTGTCTATTCATGTGGTGGCATCCAGTGTCAATTGTTTGAATGTGAAACGGACAGATCTGAGAGGACAACAAGGTGCAAAACTGTGTTTGAGTGAACAAAACAACGCTGTCATTTCCTGCACGTCGACAGCATGGTCATATGGCCAGGGTGCTCGTGTGTGCTGGCGCGCGCTGCTTCTACGCGTGAATGCCCGCGTGCGTGTTGCTGAGTCAGGCGCGACCGCTCTCTATTCAGCCTTTGCATTCTCTCTCTCTCTCTCTCTCTCTCTCTCTCTCTCTCTCTCTCTCTCTCTCTCTCAGTTGTTATTTGGCAGTGAGACTTTTTTTGTTTTATTCGCCTACGTCATTCATATGGTCTGGACACCGAGGCGCGAGGCTGCTCTCTCCTCGCCGTTAATTGTGTTTCCTACAGACTGACAACTTGTTTGTCTGTTAGCGCATTGGCTGTCCATGGGCGCTGCTGTTCACACGCTGCTGCTGCTCCGCCGCCGGCTGGGCTGTCCGGTGCGCCTCTGCGGTCAGTTCGGGACGGTATCGGGCTCCGCTTTTATGAATGAATAACGAGACGGGGAAATGCGAGTGACTGCGAAACTCCCCAGCAGCCGGGCTCCCGGGGGGGCAGCCGCCGATGAGAGGAATTAACGACGGAGCGGAGCCGCGGCTCATTGCGGAAAAAGCCGAGTCTGACTGCAGACTGGCGTGGAAACGCACCGTGAGGGGAAAGGGCTCCATAGCGTAGAGCAGCGGAACAAAAACCGCGGTGACCACAATGTAAGTTGCTCTGAAGCTGCAACTCATTAGGGGATGTGAGGGGAAGGGGTTCCTGTTGGGCTGCTTTATTTTTGTCAGTATGCTTGATAAATATAAATACAGCACCGAAAATATTTCTAAAAGTGTCAGATTTATTGAACCGTAATACCCTCTCAGGTGTAATAAAGGCCTTGGCATGCTTCTTCTCAGTCATTTTCAGTGACATGACGGTGATGCACTGTCTCCGTGATAGACATGAATAATAAGGACCAAAGCAAAGCTTGGTGCCTCCTCTTCTTCACTGCTACTTCTGTATCACCATCTGCTTGTGTGCTGCTGCTTCATTCAAGTCACTTTCAAACACGAGTTGTTTGGCTTACAGGTCCATCCACATTGTGGCTCTGGGCAGCGAGTGCCCCGGAGGAGTCGGGCCGGGGAGGAGATCATGGGCCAGGGGCAGCTGCAGGGAGGCCTGCTGTGGAGCTACCTTGGTCACGGAGCGCTGGTGGGACCCTGCGACTTGGAGAGCAGCCTGCACAACCCAGCCTTCATGGAGTACACCTCACGTGTGTTTGGAGATGTCACTGTAGTGGTTCGGGATTGCCCCAGCTGGGTAAGAGACCAGTGGTGTGTTTGTGTGCAGACTGGCATGATGCAGTAGGAATCTTTGCTTTGACTTGTTCTGTTCATTCATTTGTCCATCCCCAGTATTATTATAGGGGAGCTACACCTTCTTCATTGATACCAAATCATCCTTGATTTGCAGAGGAAGGTTTGGGCAGGCCAAGATGGCAAATATCAAACAGTGGCGCAATTTTGCCAGAGCATTGTCACTGTGAAAGAGTGTGGCCTCACTTCAATGATCTGCTGCTCGCTTTCACTCTGCTTGTGTTTCTCAGAAGACGCACAAATTCCAAGGCGCCTTCCAGCACTGATTGCAGGCTTTGTAAAAATGTCTCTATTCTTAGGAGGACGCTATTTTAACATGCACTGCGCAGAAAAAAAATGATGAAAGAACTTTTGTTCCTAATAGCATATGAATTTGAAATGAAAGCACTGTTATGATTTTGTAGCAGCAGTGTATGCGTCCTATTATAGGGCTGTCTAACCCTGTCAGGGGTGGTGCTGTGCAGAGTCTGTCAGTCAAATTCTATGCCTCTTTGTCCTTTTTATTCAAATGCGCACAGCTTTCTTAAGTGTTTTTTTCCCCCCCTGCCTAATAAGTTGAGTTAGGTTGGTTTAGAGCAAGCAGCTAGCCTCACACCGGCCCTCAGGGGTAAAGTCCTAAGAGCCACACTGAGGTATTTACTCCCACTCAGAGGGGGGATTCATGCTACAGAGATGGTATGCAGGCAATTCTGTTTACTGCCATTTTTGTGTCTGTTCTCCTCTGACCTTCTATTTATATTTGCTGTCCTTTTTCTTTTCTTGACTTTCCAGGACTTGTTGGACAGCGATTGGGCCAGCGTACGGAAAGTTCTTGAGCAGGCTGACATCCTGGTCATTAAATATTCAGTCACTGACAAGCTGGCCTTCCAGCAGGTCAGGAACGGCTATGCCCCGAGACTCCGCCCGCTCCTGAGGCACTGGGGCGTGCCTGTCATCCTGGTCGCTGTTGGAGCGCGGCTGAACGGTGAGGGCGCTTTTGTTCCGTGGTTTTGTTAGAGCCAGAGTGAGTTTGGTTGTGCCAACAACGCCTTGACAGCTGATGATTCCTCTAGCAGTTTGTCATTGTTGTACGTGAACAATGGAGTTCGAGAGGCAGCAAATGCAAAATTTCTCATCTCTCAGCCGCCGTATTTGATATCCTGGTATTTTAGGGTTAATTTTATGTTGCCTTCGGGACATGTTCTTCTCGTTGGGCCAGTGAGATCTCTGTCTCAGCCTTGTGTCCTCTAGTGTGTCCTCCCAGCAATGAGGAGGATGGCCATGATTAAATCTCCTCTTGGCTTCCTTCCGGCTGTCAGCTCACATGCTTCCCTGCAGAAAACACACCAAACAAAGCAGGACATTAAGGTTATATTGTTTTGGCCCTGTAAGCCTTGTAGGCAGACAAGAGCTCGCACAGCACTCAATATATAGAACAATGGCATGGCTCGAAAGTTCACCAACAGTTTATCGCTCAAGTAGAACTAGAGCGCTTGGGTGGGTGTGGCCTTACTGGCTGCTTAACACATCAGAAGTGAACATGTGTATACTGGCAGGCACCTCAGTGAGTCTGCATGTGTTTTTGCAGACACACACACACACACACACACACACACTGACCCTTGTCAAATCCAGATGCCTTAAACAAGCTGCTCAAATGCACAAGGTTGTATTTTTAGCCTGTCTTCTCGGCATACTTTGAGATCCTGTCAGAGCTCCGCTGCAGAATGATCACAGTGTGAGTCAAGTCTTTGGCAGAAACAGCTAGAGAGAAGGAGGATAGGGTGGGTACCTGTAGACCAGAGCCTTTGTTTGTGTTTTTGTTCGCAGCCGCTGTGAGTATTTTCATGCTATGCCCTCATGACTGCAGAGAATGACGGCTGAGCTTCCCGCTGCTCGACTTAAGACCACCTAAGGCACGTCTGTGGCAGAGAGCGCTGCCATACGTGCATTAATGCAGCCATTAAAGCCGCGCTGAACGCAGGGGCACAGACAGATTCATCCAAGGGCGCACACACACACTCACGCGC